GCGGGATCGCGGGTGCGGCCGCGGCTCGGCGGCTTCTGCGCCCGGGCTCCGCAGGGGCCGGGGCTCCCCCGGGCCCGGGGCTCCGCTGGGCCCGGGGCTCCCCGTGGCCCGTCTCGGCGGCGCCCGGCGTGGGGCTCACGGCTCCCTCTGTTCCGGTGCAGGTGAGGCGGCGGCCCGCAGGGATCCGGGAGCCGGAGCGCGGCAGCCCCTGCGGGCGCCCCCATGAGCGAGCGCGGCGGCCGGGCCTGCCGGGACCCCGTGCGGCGCCATGAGAGCGGGTCACGAGCGCAGCCAGGAGTGCCTGCCGCCCAAGAAGCGGGAGCTGCCGCCCGCCAGTGTGGGTGCTGAGCCCGCCCGTGCCACCAGCACCCAGGCCTCGGGCGAGGGCCCCGAGTGGGGCCGGGCGGCGGGGCCGGGCCCGGCAGCCCCGCACTACAGCCCAGGCGAGGGCGCAGAGGCCGTGGCGGGGCTCACGGTGGATCAGTATGGGATGCTCTACAAAGTTGCAGTGCCGCCCGCTACCTTCTCCCCCACGGGCCTGCACCCCGTGGTGAACGTGAGTCCCCTGCCACCAACCTTCAACGTGAGCTCGCCGCTGATCCAGCACCCGGGGGTGCCCTACCCTCCCATCCACTACACGCAGATCCCTCCCACCTCTCTGCAGTTCATCGGCTCCCACTACACCGTGCCCTACGCCGTCCCTCCCGGCTTCCTGCCTAGCCCACTCCTGTCTCCTTCCGCCAGCCTCACTGCCTCTCATGTCCCTCACTTCGTGCCATACGCCTCGCTCTTCACGGAGGAAACCGCTCCTTCTCCCCAGACTACCTCTCCTACCCACACCTTCAACAAATCCACTTCTGCCATCTCTCCATCTGGCCAGGCGCAGCACCATGCAGGGACCCAGCCACTAGATATGGCACCAGGTAGAATTCCTGTTTATTATCAGATGTCCCGCCTCCCGCCGGGGTATTCAGCATACGAGACACCTGGAGCGAGTAGAAGTCCAGATCGTCCTCAGCAAGACACTGAGCTGTGTTCAGAGGTAGTTGCTGCCAATGGTGGACAGAGACATCTGGAGCATAACGTGGTGAGGACCAGTGTGGCTTCAGACTCAGCCAGCGGCAAAGCTGAAGACGGTCTGCCAGGGGCTGCAGTGGGATGTGTGGTCGATGGACAGTTTCTTTCAGGTTACCAGACTTTGCGCACAGAGTTCTCTGTGCCCGCGCACAGAAGCACCCCAGATGCTGATCTGGAGGTGCAGAGGGTGGTGGGGGTGCTGGCGTCTCAGGATTACCATATTCTGGCAGCCCAGAGGAAGGATGACCTGAGCCCTTTAAACCTTTGCCATAACATCCCTGATCAGCAGGGGGAGTCGAGGGATGCTTTGAGGAGCACGGCAGAAAGGGCTGCTGCTGAGAAAAGCCAGTCCAGGAGTCCATTTGTAACGTCCCCTGATGAGACGGTTAGACAAAGACAATTAACCAAAGGAATGGTAATAGCCAACGGCAAGCCAGTTCCACTGCCCGTCGCATCTGAGCCCATCAGGTCTTCCTCTTTGGACACCCAGGCGAGGCAGAGCCCGGATGCACAGGCTCAAGGGAGCACGCTCGAGAAAGACGTGACCCAGCTGCCGCCGCCCAGCTCCTCGCATCTGCCCTCCCACTTCATGAAAGGAGCCATCATCCAGCTGGCCACAGGAGAGCTGAAGCGGGTCGAGGACCTGCAGACTCAAGACTTCGTCCGCAGCGCTGAGGTGAGCGGGGGCCTGAAGATCGACTCCAGCACTGTGGTGGATATTCAGGAAAGCCAGTGGCCTGGGTTTGTCACGTTGCATTTTGTGGTTGGGGAGCAGCAAAGTAAAGTGAGCATTGATGTGCCCCCAGAGCATCCCTTCTTTGTGTATGGCCAGGGCTGGTCCTCCTGCAGCCCAGCGCGGACTGCGCAGCTCTTTGCTCTGCCTTGTCACAGGCTGCAGGTGGGTGACGTCTGCATATCAATCAGTTTACAGAGCATGAATGGCAACTCTGCTTCTCAGGCTAACTACCCTCTTGCAGGTCAGTTGGTATCTGCTAGAGAGAGACCTGAAAGAACAGTGCAGGGGTGCCGAGAGCCACCTGACAGAGCTGCCGAAAGGAAGAGCCACCCCGAAAGGGACAGTGTGGTGCGGGGCTCTCCCACAGAAAGCTCTCAGCCTGAGCCTGGCAGTCAGCACAGCTGGGCAGCCCCAGGCTTCCAAAGATACAGCGTGCAGGCAGAGGAGCCTCGGCCGTCCCTGCTCCGACCCTCTTTCATTCCCCAGGAGGTCAAGCTGTCTATTGAAGGGCGTTCCAATGCAGGGAAGTGACCCCTGGAGGCTGTGAGCTGGGGCGTGCCCAACGCACGAGCCTTGCCTGTACCGGTGAAGAAATTGCACAGACTTTGTGGCAGGTTCACCAGTAAAGCTGCTCCCTGCCCTGCAAAACTGGATTTGCTCCAGTTCAGTGGCTGACCAGATCTTCTTGGGGAATCAAGAGGGCTCTGGTGCCCCAGGGAGCAGCAGCAGGAGAGCTGGGCTGGAGTATGCGGGATGTGCTCTGGAGCTCGGACAGGGTCGTTCCAGAGGCTGGGGCTCTGCGCCTCTCTGAGCTCCTGGCTCCCTGCAGGGCAGGGCCTGCACATTCAGGAGAGGTGGGGAGATGAGGAGGGCAGATGAAGCTCAAGGTAGCAGATAAAATTGCTGAAGATTTTATTCCTCTTTTCTCAAGATGGGTCCCCACTGGAGCTTAGGGACCCTACTCCCATTATCCCCTTTCTTCATACATGCACTTTAAAAGGACTGTTCACCAATGGAGTTCTTGAGGACAGGCTGCAGATGCTTCTCGGATAGTTCTGTTTATTGTCTCTTCCACTGAATCCAACCGCTCTTTCTTTTTGCAAAGAATCTGCAGACATCTGCAGCAGTGGCAGAAATTGGAGAGGAAGGACCAAAAAGATGGGTTTGGGTGCAGGTAAATAGGAAACTGTCAGAAAGACTTGAGCACTTGGGGTGGGGCATGAGCTTGGATGGGAGATGGCAGTTTCTTGCCCTGCTAAGAAATGCATTTAATTATTTGACACCAAATCAACTCTATCTTCTCATGTTTGTAATCCTTTTTCTTTCTTTTCTTTTTTTTTTTTCTAATGAGGTTAGCCTACAGGTGATCTTTCTCTTTTTGTCTTTTTTTCTTTTTTTTTTTTTTTAACCTGGAGTAAAATACATTTAGCATTCTCTAAGGAAGAATGGAAATGCATTCTTTTACTGTGAGAAGTCTGAGAGTGTTTTGTAATTAAATCAGAAAACTTTCCAGATGGCTAATTCTTCACTGCAGGCAGTTTCCTGAATAAGCTCTAGACAACAGACAAGTGTTTGTGCATGTGCAGGAAAGGTACAAAGCTTCTCTTAATTACAGTTCCATGACTGATATAGGGACTAAAAATATCACAGCATCATAGGGCATTTCTATATGTTTTTCTGTTCCTTATTCTGATGCTTCATCTTGGAGTTCCTCTGTAGAACAACATGGTAAAATCCAGAGTAGTCTCTTTCGCAGTGAGATTGACTATAAATGTATATTAATACCTCGTTATGGTGATAACACTCCATTCAAGTAAAGGTTCCTGTAGTTACACTAATTTATCCTCTCTGACAATGTGTTATGAAACCAACTCTAAATGCTTAGCTAGAATAAAGAAATAGTCACTGCTATGTTGAAGATAAGAGCCTTTACTCTGAACTTGGGTTGAAGTACTCCTTGTGTTCAGGTGCCCATCTCTGTGCTGGGACCATGCTTGCCAGGGCCTGTTGGGCTCTTCCTTAGTGCACAGGCCCCGCCAGGCTCTTTGTGCTGCTCCCAATGTTTAGCATCCCATTTGCTGCCTCCTTTTTCCTGTCTTTCCAAGCTTTGCTGTCGGGCATGCCTCGCTGTTCGGGCATTGGTGCTCTCCTCCTGCGGTGCCCTTTGTGCCGACACCCTGGTCCGTGTCGCTGTCCTGCTGCTGAGCTGGTGGTGATTGTGTCTCAGGGCTGTGCGTGTCCCTCAGAAATGTGCCCAGCTGCAGCTGGCTGCGAGCGACTCGGATGTCTCCGCCGTGCCCCTTCCAACGGGGCACCAAGCCTCTTGTCCCGGTGCACTGCCAGCTGCTTGTGTTGCCTTTCAAATGCCTGTGCCCAAGAACAGCTTCTTTTCATGTCTTGATGGAGGCACACTCTGCTCTCGCCTTAGTCTTGGTGCCTCGCGGTAGTGTCTGAGCGGAGGCTGCTGGCTGTGTCCTCTGCACCTTCTGCCAGGGACACGCTGCTCCCAGCCAGTCTCCTCAGTGTCATCAGGAAGCGTAAAGTTGCACCGAGGTTGTTGTGAGGTTCTGCCTTCTGTGGTGAGGGAGCTGAGGGAGCAGATGCTGTTTGTCAGTAAAAGCAGGCGCTTCATTGCCTCGTATCCATCCTGTGTGTCCCCTTGCTGCTGCATGGACTGCCCTACACCAAGGTCTCACTCGATGGTTGTCGCACAGCGCTCAGGATACCCGGCTGTCTGTGGCCACGGTCAGAAAGCGGAGCCCCAACTGCTGCTGTCTTTGTGTGGTGCCTGCAGAGGGATTTTGGGGCTGGAGCCCACAGCTAGGAGAGGGATGGCGCAGGTGTGCGATGTGGAAGGGCTGGTTTGTGTGCGCAGGCCATGGTGCAGAGCTGCTTGGTGCCTCTCTGAGTTTGGAAACCTGTCTGCTGGAGAGGGGGGTTTGCAGAGATCACCCCATCCTGGGTCCTGCTGTCCCTACTGCCACATCTCCGCTGCGCCGATCGGCAGCCCGAACGGGCATGTGTGACCTGTGAGATGCCATGGGCTAACAGAGCTCTGTGCCGCGCAGCCCCGGGCCGCGGGGTGCCCGGCCGCGTCTTCTGCCACGTCCGCTCTGCGGCAGGTGTCAGCTGAGACCTGGAGGCTGCACCCACCGTCCCACGCATTGCGGTGCCGGCATGTCCCGTGGCGGGGATTGCAGTGCGAGCTCAGGCGCTTGGCTGCCTGCTGAGGGTTGCGGGCAGCTGGGGACCCCCTGGCCCGGTGCGGGTGCCCCCAGTCACTGCACTCAGTCTTTGCTGCGCTTGTTGCTTCTGCGGAGGTGTTCGCGGCGTTGAGTGTCCAGGCTCTTGTGAGACTGTGCGAGACAGGCCAGACGGTGAGCGGGGCCCAAGGGGAGGCCCAAGGAGAGGCGAGGTGGCCGGGAGGACGCGTGGAATGAGCTGGCTACCCCAGTGTTGCTGCCAGCACCTGCATGACCGGCTGCCCGGGAGTCGCTGCTTCCCTGCGCTGCTGTGAAGGAGGGAGAGCTCTCCCGGCCCGAGGAGCGGGTGTTGGCGGGGGTGCCTGCAGGGCACAGCCAGGGCCCCACGCTTCCCACGCCGCTCGGCTGGGCCGGCCTGGCCGGGGCAGGGCTCGCTGGGGCCCCAGTACTGCCGCTACCAACTATGCAGAGGAAGCGCTGCTGGGGAGGGGGGCACGGGCCCCTCTGCCCCATCCCGCAGCGCGACAGCTTAATGCACTTTCACAGTGTCCCTGTCCCCAGCCCCTCCCCGACGCCAAGTCACTTTCCCCAGTACAGAACTAACAATCCTTGTTACTCAAAGTGTTCTGAATGAAACCCCAGCAGCTTGGTTAGCCCCGATGCTAGTTCCTGCCCAGCAGCACATGTGCCTTTCCCTAGCATCGCTCACCCGGCTCCCTGCCTCTCAGCCTGTCGCAGGGCACACAGCTTCACGGAGGCTGCCTGTGCCGCGCAGCGCCTGCCCGGGCCGTGCCGGCTGCACCAGGGCCCCGCGCCGCTCCGGCCACGGCCCGCGCTCCAGCCACGCTGCCCTCGCACCGCCTTGCAGCGCGTTCCGGCTGCGCTCCGGCCGCACGCAGCGCAGGGCTGCAGAGAGGACGGCGCCGGCTGGCGGGCCTGCCTGCGGCGGGGACGTCCGTGTAGATAAGTGCTGATCCCTCCACTATAATCCCAGTTATGTAATGGCTGTATTAACATGTAACCAACTGCATTGTATCTAAAGCCTTAGAACTAGTCAGGTGCTCCCCTCTGACTCCCATCCTGCCCCTTTCCTCCTACATGATCTTTAACAAAGCATTAATAATTCTAAGGATAATCTCTATTTTGTTGTGCTTTTTTTGTAACTGTTTTAAATAAATCAATTTGTACTGTATATTTGTACTTTTGGTGAGATCCTTTTTCCTGTTTTACCATTTTAAGTCTGTACTTGGCTACACACAGATTGTATTTTTATTGTTAATGCTCTTATGAATATTGCATTTAACTTGTTGACTCTGTAAACACAGTATATATCTATATATCTATATATCTATATATAAACCAATAGCTTTTCCTTTGGTGTTTGAGACTTCTTGCTTGTCTGTAGCACCAGTGATGGTTTGGATGTGGGTTTTCTGGTCTTATGCGGTGTGATCTGCAAACTACGGCATGCCCAGGGTGAAGCTGCCTGGCAGATGGGTTCTGATCTTATGTGCTCTTTCTTGAACCCTTTTAATACCATGGCTTTATCAGTAAGTGAAGCTTGGAACAATCAGCAGCTGCACTGTGAGTTTTCCAAACTGTCTGGCAAGAGAAAAATTCAATTTATGATTAAATCTAGTTAAGTAGTACAACTGAAACCCTTTAAAAAACAACAACAACAGACTTTGCTCTCTGACCCAAGGGATGTGTCTTCTGGTCACTATTTTTGTCTTAATGCAGAGCTAGCAATAAGAGAGACAGGGGTTTTCAGTGTATTTAGGCCACCATGTAAGTACTGCAGACCGTAACTGGCAATGGGACGGTGCTGGAAATGCAGTATGGTTCTTCATGCTGCAACATACAGGTGGGCAGCACTTCAGTGTTTCATGGGCTGCAGGTCAGGAAGCACAGAGTTAAAGCATACATTTTCAATGCTTATTCTTAAAGAAGTCAGACTGGGGAGAATATACCTACCCTTTGTGCCTCTCCATCTCCCGAGATTTCTCTTCCTACCTGTACTGTTGTGTTTACTAATGGTTCCCACTAGGAGCATGTTATTTACAGAGACCATGGAAAGTCAGTGCTGATCATGGAGGGCTTCAGTAAGAGAATTAATTCCTTGCAGGAGACCCGTGGTTCCAGCTGAGCATCTTTGCATTTGGTGGAATTAAAATGCTTGACCAAGCTCAGCTTACTAAGAAATCCATATAGTATGAGAGAAAAGTCTGTACTAATTGTTTACTATTCAATCACCTTTTCATCTTCAAACTTGAAATACTATTTAAGTATTTCTTGTGAAAATTAACTTGTGAGGAGACTGGTGAATGTCTATTCCCTGTGTGCTTACCTCCGTCAGCCTTTCTGCTCCTTTTTACGTGGTGTAGCTTAGAACAAGAACTGAATTTCCTCCCAGTTTTCACATGGATGCTACTGCAAATAAGCACATAACAATAGGGTTAAGAGAGAGGGTGTGCACAGCCATTTCCACGGAGATTCAGTTCTTCTTTCCTTCATTTTTATGGACACAAAGAGCAAGATATTTATTCCTGGAGGAGTTGTGGACTAGCAAAGTCTTTCACTCAGTAACTCATGCTGTAGTAAACAAGATCCTTTTTCAGTAAGGAAGACTTTTTACCTACAGCAGAATTAGAGCAACGCAACCCCAACCATAGTGTGAGGGTCCGAGCACAGGATGAAGCAAAAGGCAAGGAAGGGGTCTAAATAAACATGAAAATTAATTTATTTTCCCTCCACTCACAGGCTGTGGCCTGGCCCCTAGGGCAGATTGCATCCACGGAATCTGGTCCCCAGGGGCTACTTTGGCAGACACCTCTCAGCCCCATTCTCCTCCCGTGTCCAGGGGAAAGCCAGACCATATGCAAGGCAGGCTGGGCCTGGGGAGTCAGTGAGGGTCCAGAGCATTCTCCGGAATGGAGAAGTCGCTAGTGTCCCTG